GACAGCTTTTTGGTCTTCTCAGCAGGATCCGAAGATGTCAGCACCTTGAAGCCGTAGTCGCCCGGGGTGCCGCTCTTGTAGTCATCGAAGCCGCCGCTGAACTCCACGAAGCCAAAGTACGCGGCAATCTGCGCCCAGCCTGCCACAGGTACTTTGGCGACAGCCGCAAGGCCGTTCGGGATGTCTGCAAACTTCAAGCCCGCGGAGGGCGACAAGAAGCCAGGCCTGACAGATTCTCAGCGGCCCGACAAAGCAACAGAGGGCTGAAAAAAACGGCTGCTTCAAGCGTCTGCGACGGTCCTTGAGTCAAGATAAGCTGTACGAGCGAACCCCTTTCTTTGAACCTTGATCCCGCGCCGTTTATACAACTTCATAAACCTCCAACCTTCTCCCAGCCGTTCAAGCACAAAGCAACAACCTAGAGCAGACTACCTCTTCTATCCTCAAACTCAGTTACACTGCAAACTCCACCATCCCTCTAGGAACCGGGCAGCTTGCCGATGACTTCTGGGGTGATGTAACCTCGAGCCCAGTGGTGGGTCCGGAAATCGAAGCTCGCGCCACGTAACGACAGATGACCCTATCAAGGACACACAGCCGTCCCAACTAGGCAATCTGGAAACAGTATTTCAGAATCTCCTTGAATCCAAGCTGAAATCTAGCCCCAATGCAACAACTGAAGCTCATCAGACCCAAATGAAGACCTTCAGCCTTTGGATCTGTAGATCCATGGATTAAGCTGCTACGGAAACGTCTTGTACACCATGGTGCCCATCGTAGCCATCATCGAGATTCGGCCATGCTTCCTCAAAGGATCCACTTGTTTCGCTCTGAGGTGTGTGCAAACCCTGAAACACTGAAACGTGAACAACTGAAACCAAAATCACCCGTGGTCCTGCCTACTAAGCTTCAGCAAGACCCCACAAGGCTACAGGCCCGCGGCCCACACATCCCAAACCTGAGCACAATCAGGCACATGCTCTTCCGACAAATCTCTGTCATTCAATCCTCGACGCCAAGAACTTTGATAGCCGCCAAGCGCTGAACCTTCAGCCGAAGCCCCAAATGCTCCCTTCATGACGTCAATAAAACCTGATAAGGAGAAACGTTAGAAGCTCAAGCATGGCTGAAGCCAGGCGGCAGCTCGACAGAGCGACGCCTCCTAAAGGATGCCACATCTCCTCAAGCAGGCTAGCAGATGATATATATACATACATACATACATACATACATACATACATACATACATACATACATACATACATACATACGCCAATGTATAATAAGTATATATATATATATAGGTAGATAGATAGATAGATAGATAGATAGATAGATAGATCGATATACGATTCATCATGAGGGCCATACCGTAGTGATGATGATAGCGACGGCACAACTATGACGATGACAACGATAAGATGGAATGATTACGACTACAGTGATGCTCCTCATGATAGGCACGACGATGACGACTGCGCCTATAGTGGTTTTGATGATTGTGGTGGCGAGGGTATGATCACAGTGACGATGGTGACGGTGAAAACGATGACAGTGGTGAGCTTGATGCTGGTAAGGATGATGGTAGTAGTGCTGGCAATGGGGTTGTGATCGATTTAAACATGGTTGCGCTAACAACTTTGCGAGACTGCAACTGTTGCTAGGAAAGTCAGTGGGCACTACCTTTTGCAGCGGATGCCTTTGGAAGACCAGTCTAGCCAAAGAGAAAACCCAGAACACCGAGCTATGACTTCCTTAATTTCCTTCTGTTTCGCGGCTGGTTGGGAAAGCCCTTCATGCTCCGCCATTAAACGCATTCCTCCCCAGTGCGCTGTTTAATAGTTTAGAGGCCCGGTAGCTCGGTGGTCTGCGAGTACCTGACCTTGCCCCACTTCTGCCTCCTGCCCTGTAAAGAGAAGCCACTCAGTGTCTTGACGGGCACTCGCCCAAAACGGGAACGCGAAGTTAAAAAAGTCAGTGACCTCTGACATCAGCCTGCCACCTTTCTTAAGCAGCGCTTGCACTGCTAGCTTTTGCGGCTCGGCATCCGTCGGCGGTGAACCCGACTGGATCCCAGAGACCCACAGGATCCTGCCTGGGCATGCGCAGAGACTATGGCCGCCTATGCAAAGTAGGTGCTGCCTGAACTTCCAGTCTGGGCTCTCTTCTAGGCTTCATCCTCCGTCTCCAATCGCTACAGCAAAACGGCTTGGGGACCCTGATTCGCATGCCATACTTCAGAATCGAACGGGCAAGGGGTGCCCATGCAGCCTGAAACCTCAGAACCCCAAAGAGAGCAAGTTGCACTCCGAGCTCGCTTTCGAAGGCCTTCAGCGCTACCTGGCAGCATTCGTATAGAGAAGTCCAGGCTTGGGGGGCTTCAGAGGGGCCCTAGGCTCCTGGGCGCAGAAAGCACGCGGAATGGCGCAAGACTTCCTGAATACCGGAACCTGAAAGGTTAGATACTGCCGACGAGTTTGGCTTCGTGCGGCCAATTGCACTCGCTCCATGAAGCACCCACACCCAGTTAGCTAACAGTTGGCCTTAGTCTGGTGTCGCAGCGCATACCCCTGACAACCCCTAAACAACTCTCGTAGCCGAAGCCCCCATAGTCAACGACTTAACACGTTCTCTGTGGGGCCGCACAAGGACCCTTCAACTCCTTTCATGGATATGTTAACGGATTTCGTTTTCATGGCATCGCCTGTCTTTCCGACAGGAAATTTGAAAGATCCAGGAGGCTGGCAAATAAGAACAAGTCAGCTGCTAGACACAGGCCAAATAGCGGATAGTAAGCACAAGTTGAAGCCTCTACAAGGTATGTATGTAAAGACCTCTGCAACGCTCGAAAACAATCCTTCAACAGTACACCCTCAATACCCCGGGCACCAGAAGATCCAGCCACTGAAACTTTAAAGACCACCGCAACTGGTTTCGCAGCGAAAATGTCATCGCTTCTCCACGCAAATCTTGGGTGTTCCCGGGAAGCAAAAAAAAGAATAACTACAGTACTAAGATGGTTTGAATAAGCATAGATGATCATCAGGTTACTGCCGAAGAACGTTTGCAAGTCTCAAGCCAGAAAGCCAGTTGTCCATTCACATGCACAGCTGTAAGCCCGTGCCGGGATCACTGTTCGCTGCTGTGGGGAGCCTTTGAAAGCGACCTAGGCAAATCGATGGTTGGAACCTGTGAAGACTCTGGTTCTTGGTGGGGTTAATAGCCATTATGGCTCCTGCTATAATTCGTTTCGGAATCAAGCCTGTTTATTACTGATTCCCGCTGTTTCGTTTCGCTGCTACGGATTTTCTGATGCTTCTGCATGCTATCTGTCGCGGCCAGATCGCCTCTGTGTGAGAAACGAGTTACCACCTTGCGGACTCAGAGGCAACGACCAATTTACATGCACACGGAAAGCAGAAAGCGAACTTCACAAGTATGGACAAACACAGCACCCGCAACTCACTCATGTTGCCCTATTTCTGACCCCACGGTATACCCGGATACCCGGTATGATTTACCCCTCAAGCGCGCAGACCCACAGCCAAACAGCTCGAGAGACAAATCTCGAACAATGCATGCATACACCCTACCCTAGCACCCCAGGACTCAGAAGCGCCTCCAAAGCCAAAACCTGCCACTTCTAAGCCTGACCCTGACCACCAAAGACCCCTCCCCCTCCTACCCCATGGATGCTGGGCCCCCAGGCGCGCTGGGACACAGCGCCGAGTGCCAGGGCAGCAGACGCAGCCCCCAAGCCGACACTCGGGGCCTCAAAGATTTCTTTGTCATTCCGTTATCTTTGCTAGCTGGGCTAGTAGTGTTTTAAAGTGGTGCTCGTAAAGGGTTTGGATTTAAGGGGGCCGAGAAGCTCTGATTCTTTCTCTTGTTCCCGCGAGGCACACATGCACGGAAGCCTCGCTCGGCCGTTCTGCAACTCCTGCTGTGGCGCGGGGCGCTTTGTTTTCGAATTGTATACGGGCAGAGCGCCTTGGATTTATGAATCGCGTCCCTGCCCATGCAGTCCTAGCAGGCCCGCGCCGCAGGACTCGCCTCCTTCGTGGCTTAATCGTGTGATCTCGACATCCTGTCGTTCTGAGAGGTTTAGCAATCTGGCGTTGGCGAAGTCCCGAAGCCCACCTCCCGAAATCGTGCTCCAGAACCATGCGCATGTTGGCTATGACTCGTGTTTGTGCCGCCAAAGAGCCTGCTCCCGCTGCAGCTCGGCGCTGACACTCATGCTCACATGTGCTCCCTCCACAACTGAGCTCCGACCAGAGTGTGGTGCACATGTTGGACTCATGGGGCGGTGTTGGGAACCTCGGGGGAGCTCGGTGCCCGTTCACTGTTTGGTGTCTACTCTGGCAGTGGGGCTCACATAGGGAGCCTAGAACAAAACCCGTTCTGGATTTTACGACTTTCCGATTCAGTCGACAAAAAAAGATGGAGATGAGCAGCATCACGCTGATCGCCAGTTTATGCCACTTTGTTGATCCTTTGAACTTCTTCTCGAGTGCTCTCAACGTTTGACTGGGCTGACAAGGGTCCACAACTAAAGAAACAAGCATCTTGGTGTGCGGAGTCCGCTGTAAACCTGCACCCTATCCTGAGGCGGGATAGGATCCGGGCGCTGCTGCTGCTGCTGCTGCTGGCTCTAACGGCCGTCTTGACTGAGGCAGCCTGCGCGCTTCAGCTTTACGGTTTTTGGGCCGTTTAGGGTTTTGGGCTGCAGACACCGGAAGAAAGGCAACCTGTCTGCAGATTTAGCCGGGAGTTGGGCATGATCGATTCGGCTTAAGATTCAAGTTGCCCCATCCCTTCAGATAGATCATATGAGCGAATTGTGTGCTTTAGCCAAAGAACTTCAAAGACACACATATATATATATATACATACATACACACCATATACACGTAAATTTGTAGACATTGAGTCTGACATTGAAAGCGAAATTGAGCATGCCGAGTGCTTGGAAACCAAAGATCTCCACGCCGCACGCCATGGTTTCTGCAACAGATGCATCAGCATGTGGCGCAGCCACACTGTGGTTAACGAGGAAGTTTCGGTGGCGTTTCATCTGGCAGCCGATGGCCCGTACTTACTGCATGAACCGGAGCGGGAGGAGTCCGCGACAGAATCTTCCGGCAATAAAAGCCGACCATCAGTCTGCAGTGCCCATGATTCCATAATGATTCGATACTTCGGACTACGAGCAAAGTCTGAACATCAAAAGCTCAGCATAGGCTAAGTGCTAAGGCCTTAGAAATCTTCAGCTGCAGTCAGCTGCCCAAAACTAACAACAAACTTGTTCCCAGGATCCCCAGCCCGGCAAGCCCTCAAGACTCTCCTGATGAATACATTTGATGGTTTGGGAGAGTTCAACACTAAGGCGCATGGGTGGAAGCCGGGCTCTTTTGACCGAAGGGAGCTTGCTAGGAATGCGTAGGAGCCCGATTCCCGAAATTTTGCGTTCTTCTGCGCGTTGTTCTGCAAGGCGCTGGGCCGTGCCTCTGCAACCCTAGTGGCGCGGAGGCTCTTCGTCTGCGCCGCTGGCGCCACGAAGGCTGTGCTGCACAAAGCGACGGCGCCTCCATCCAATGTGGTGCTAGGTTGTAGTAGTCACTAAGTGAGGGTTTTGGGGTTCCGGGATGTGTAATATTGGGAACGCTTCCGTTTTGGGTTTAGTGCTTAAGTCGAGCCTGCAGCGCCCATCGCGACAGTCACAGCGCGGCCGTTCGAAGCCATCTGTGCACGCAGTTGTTCTGAATCAGGTTTCCAATAAGCACTCGGCATCGCAAGAGAAGCCTGGGGAGCTGTAGTGTATGTTCAGCACGAGTACCACTCATTGCATCGGGTGTGGGAACTGCAGGCCTTCAGAAGTTGGGAAATCAGATTCTGAGGCTCCTGCTCTAAAGTAGCAACTGATTCAGCCTTTTCACTAACCCAAAACCCTAGAGGGTCTGCTTGGACTTCAACGGGCGTTTTGGCTTTCTTAGGGCATAGGGGCTGTGTCTCTTGACATCTTCTCGGCGGGTGGTATTGGGCTTCGCCGCAGGCTTCACTTCCTGAAGCCTGAAACGCCGGACTCATTCAGTCCAGCACCCTACTCTTGAAGTCTACCTAGTCCACGCCAAAACACTCTGGGAAACACACAGGAAAAGCCAACGTAACGCCAATGTAAACCTGTCCCAATGTGCCGCGGTCTCTTTGGGAGGGCTTTCTCCATTGAAGTGCTTTCGGCCAAATCTGGGCCACCGGGCGGAAGCAAAGCAGGCAGGTGGATTAAAAGATGTGCAAAGCTTCTGAGGGATGTCCCGAACCTGCGCAAGCAGATTTCGAGACTTGGGGCATGGGTTGAGGGATTTGAGTGTGAGATGCCGGGCTGGCGATTTGTGCCATGGTGAACTCGCTTGGGCATGATTCAACCTGGCTTGGGGTAGGATCGGGGGCCAAGGCTTGCTCATCCAGAAGCAGATTTACTCGATCATGAACGGCTGAACGGACGAAGGCCTTTCCCAGGACCCGAGACCTCTCCGAAGTTGCCTGGCCCGTTTGTGATCATGTATGCCATCCTCCCCCAGCGTCTTTCTGGCAACAAGAGCTGAGTCGATAGGGAGTCATCACATCATGGTCTTTCTGCATTGTGATGTGACATTTACAGCGACTTACAGGGTATTCCCTCTCATGCACTTCATGCACACATACCAAAGAACAGACACACACACACACAGTAAAAACAAAAAACATACGACAGACAACGGATCCACGAGAACCCGCTGGAACTGATGGGGCAACTTTTCGGCTTCCTGCAAACATAAGCTAACATATACAATACGAACAATGCGACAAGCAAAAAACAACCTTCCCAGCGCTTCTGGGCTCCCGCGCCCAAGGTCTTTGCACTCTGCACTGCTTCCCGGCTTGAGCACAGCGGCGCATGGAGGGTGGATGCGAAAGATGATCCTATGCGCACGAATAACCCTTGGAACAGCATCGCCTACCTGAGTTCAGTCCTGAGGTCCCGAGACAAAAACACGCAGGATGGTGTCTCGAGATTATCCCTCGCTGGCGAACAGCTATGCAAGAACAGTGCGC